TTTTCTCATCATTTTTATTCTCAGATTTTGGCTTTGTAATGCCACGCTTGGGATCCGGTATAAAAAGTACATCAGATTCTTCACTTGGATCACTGAGACCATATGGGTTTTCAGCTTTCACCCGAAATTTATACTCAGAACCTTCTATCAAATCATGCAAAGTTGTGCTCAGTGATCGTGTAGTCGCTGCCTTCAGCCACACATTCCAACCGACACGGAAATATTCTACAATATAATTACCGATTTTGCACCCACCATCGTCAATTGGAGATGTCCAAGAGAGTGTAGCAGATTTTCCAAAGGACATATTTATTCTAACTTTACCAGGTGCATTTGGTCTGGCAGTGACTGTTACCAAAAATGAGGTTATGTCATCACCTAGTTTATTTGAAGCACGTATGCTATATTCCCCACGATCATCACGTTGTATGTTATCAATTTTAAGCATAGAATTGCGATCCGTATTTATTATTTCAAAACGTCCCTCATTATTAATGATCTCACCTTCATGTAACCATGATACATTTGGCGTTGGTTGTCCAGCAATACCTACTTTCAAACGTAAAATCTCATCTGCTTCTACTATGAGACCATCTTCATAAGTACGTGGCAAACGTATTCTAGGTGGTGCTTGAACCATTAATTTGGCTTTCGTTACAACATGACCAGCTCGATTCGTCGCTGTGCACTTGATTTCGCCTTCATCAGTGAGCGCAACTTGATGAATTATCAACACACTGACGTCGTTATCGTTTACAATTTTCGTTCGTCTACTACTGAAAATCTCATATCCATCTTTAAACCAACTAATTTCTGGTGTTGGTTGCCCTAGCACACGGACACGAAATTCAATGCGTTCATCTTCGACAGCTTGTGTATCTTGAAGTTCGTCGGTGAAACGTGGTACACTAATTGCGTTACGTTGTAATGTTACTGTTAATGCATCAGAAAGTTCACTTGCATCTGAACGGCCCACAATATTTTCGGCAAATACTCGAAATTGATAACGCCAACCAGGTTCCAATCCACTAATGGATACTTCGCATCGTGGCACAGGAGTAGGTGTGGCACGTACCCAATGTGGTGAGCCCATTCTACGATGTTCAACAACGTAACCAGTAATAGGTGAGCCTCCATCAACTTTTGGACGTTCCCAACTTAAATTAACAACATCGGGCTGTTGATCAGAGAGCGGTATTAATATT